ATTCAGCAAAGTTGCATGATATAAGATTAATATACAGAAATCTGTTGTTTTTCTATATACTTATAATGAACTATCAGAAGGAGAAAGAAAATAATTCCACTTAAAATTGCATCAAAAAGAATAAAATACATAAGAATTAACTAAACCAAAAAGGTAAAAGACTTAAACTCTGAAAACTATAAAACAACGATGTAGGAAATGAAAAGATATCGTGTGTTCTTGGATTCAAGGAATTGATACTGTTAAAATGTCCATACTATCCAAAGCAATCTCCACATTTAATGTAACATCCATCAAAATACCCATGAAATTTTTCACAGAATTAGAACAAATAACCCTGAAATATATATGGAACAACAAAGGATCCTAAATTGCCCAAGTAATCTTGAGAAAAGAAGAACCAAGCTAGAGGTATCACACTTCCTGATATCAGACTACTACAAAGCCACAGTAATCAAAACAGCATGGTACTGGCAAAAACAGAATAGAGAGCCCCCAAAATAAACCCACACACTTATGGTCAATTAATTGACAACAAAGGAGGCAAGACTATACAATGGAGAAAAGACAGTCTTTTCAATAAATGGTGTCGGGGAAACTGGACAACTATGCGTAGAAAATGAGATTAGAACATGTCCTCACATTATACACAAAAATAAACTTACAATGAATTAAAGATCTAAATGTAATACCTGAAACCATAAAACTTCTTAATTAAAGAAAACTTAGGGAGAATGCTCTTTGATGTAAATTGTAGCAATATTTTTTTTGGATCTGTCTCCTCAAGTAAAAGAAATAAAAGCAAAAATAAATAAATGGAACCTAATTAAACTTGAAAGCTTTTGCACAGCAGAGACAACCACTGACAAAATGAAAGATGAGCTACAGAATGGGAGAAAACATTTGCAAATGATATGATCAACAACAGGTAACTATGTGAAATACATAATCAGCTCACATAACTTAGTACCAAAAAACAAACAACCCAACTGAAAATGAGCATAAGAACTGAATAGACATTTTTCCAAAGAAGACATTCAGGGACATGAAAAGATGCACAACACTGTTAATCTTTAGAAAAATGCATATCAAATACACAACGAGATAGCACCTTACACCTGTCAGAATGACTATCATCAAAAAGACCACAAATAACAAATGCTGGTGGGGATGTGGAGGAAAAGGAATCTTATATATTATTGGTGAGAAGGTAAATTTGTGCAGCTACTTTGAAAAGCAGTATGGAGGGTCCTCAAAAGACTAAAAATAGAACTACCATCTGATCCAACAATAATTCCACTCATATATTTTAAGAAAACAGAACAAAATATACATGCACCCAATGTTCATAGCAGCATTATTTACAATAACCAAGATTTGGAAGCAACCATTAACAGATGAATACATAAAAAATTATGTTGTATGTATACACACAATGGATTATTACTCAGTCATAAAAAATAATAGAACTCAGCCACTTGGAACAACAAGGATGAACCTAGAGGTTATTATGCTTAGTAAAATAAGTCAAACAAAGACAAATACCATGCTATCACCTACATGTGGAATCTAAAAGATAAAAGAATTGCACGGATATAACAAAACAGAAACAGACTTAAAAATATAGAGAACAAACCAGTGGTTACCAGTGCAGAGGGGAAAGCGGGGAGTAGTGAGACACGGGTATGGGGTTAAGAGATATAAACTACTATGTATCAAACAAGCAACAAGGATATATTGTACAGCACAGAGAAATAAAGCCATTATTTTATAATAACTTTAAATGGAGTATAATCTATAAAAATCCTGAATCACTATGTTGTATACTTGAAAACTAATATTCTAAATCAACTATACTTCAATAAAAAAACAAAAGAAATGAAGGACCAACACATATGACAACATGGTTAAGTCTCAAAAACCTTATGCTGAGTGAAAGAAGCCAAATGCAAAATATCACATAGTGTATGATTCCATCTGTATTAAATGTCCAGAAAAGGCAAGTCTATAGAGAAAGAACATTTATTGATTGCCTGGTCTGGCGGTAAGAATGAGGAGTGCTTGCAAATGGGCATGAGGTATCTTTTTACAGTGATGGACATTTTTCTAAAATTAGAATGTGGTGCTAGCTATACAACTCTGTAAATTTTCTTTAAAAAAATCAGAGTTATATCCTTAGAGTGAGTTTTATAGTATATAAATTATACCTTGCTGTTAAAAAATAGATATGAAACCACCATGCCTTCTTATATGCCATTCTGACTTTAAACAATAAATCTTCTAACTACCAGACTTTTATAAGATAGGGCAGGCAGCCCTGATCCACAAAAACAATATGACAGACGTTCCCAAAAGTTTGAAAACCAATCTTAATATTCAGGCTCTACACATAAATGAGTCACACGGCAGTAGTGCCTGACACCTAATAGGCCTCAATAAATGCTTACTGGACAGAAAATTAAACCATCTTTACAGTATGACTTTCCCCCAAATATATCATCCACTTGATAGATGCAATGCAGTTGATTAGGGCATTTTTTCCTTAAGAAAACTCCATGAAACACCAATATCTCCAGGGAAAAAGTTGTCTTAGGGAGTCAGAATCATTTATTAGGCTATGATGAGGTAAGATACTAACTCTTATGTGCTACAGACCCACTTGATTTAGTAGTGGGTGTAGATGGAGGTGGGGGAGTGGGAATGTCTGATCCAGAGTCTCTCAAGAGACCTAGGTTGGCCAAAGTTTAACTGTACATCAACAGGAGTCATGGCAGAGTAACAGAGATGGAAAAACTGTGCATGGGCTTTTCACTATCATTGCCCATACATGACCCAACTCACATGCACTAACATTTCATTTGCTCCCTAACTGCAGAGAGGGCTACATACCCAGGGGAGTAAATGGAATACTTGGTGAACATTGCAGTCTGCCGCATCTGCCATCAAGAGGCCTTGTCTCAGGATTCTCTTCCACAGCTAGAGACAACCTCCTTCTCCATCTGATTAAGAACCACTAATCAAGAATTTAAGATTCATGACCTTCAGAGTCTTTGAAGCAAATTCTGAAGCAGGAGACAAACATTCTGCTTGGTATCGCTGAAGCACTTTGCTTTTTGGAGAGGAGGTGGTCCTTGATTCACTTTTTTTTTTTTTTTTTTTTGCCCACCACTGCAAGGATATCATCTGGTACATGGTAGCGGTTCATGGAGTATATGGAATTGAATTTTGTCTCAGAGAAACAGGTCAGGTGAAAGCCTACAGTCTGAGTACAAATATCTCCCATCTTCCCATGGTATTCTTCAGTCACAACTTTTATTTGATTGACATTCCCTCAGTTCAGTTAAATAGAACCAAGAAACACAGGTAAATTCTGAGGGAAAAGGAGCAAAAACTGATGCAATGTAAACAATTACTTTTACTGTTTTATAGCACCACAACTATCACCTCATCTATAAATAATATCTTGTTATAAATTATACATAATAATAAATAATGTAAAAATTTATATTAGTAGTGCTAAACAAAAAATAAGATCAGTGAAAGAAATGAAAGAAAGAAATGCATCAAGATTTATGTTATTCAACCATGTGATGGTATTTGGAGAAAATGTCTCATGAGGCTGCTACCAATCTACATTCCATTATTTATAGTATTAATGTTTTAGCCCCTTAGCTTCTGGTCTCTGTTCTTGAAATGTCATTCTTATCTTTTTCAAATATTACCTTTAAAATCCAGGACCAAACTCCTTAATTCTGGCAATTTTGACTTTCTATGTAACATTCTCATGCTTTTTTCTTTTTTGAAAATTAAAACAAGATCCCCAAATGAAACTTCTGTTGCCTCAGAGTTAATTATTCTTTATGCTGCACATATTCACTAACAACTCAAACACTACCTGGTATGCTATTTCTTTTCTGACTGAAATTTCTACAAAATTTCTACTGAAATTTTGCCCATTGCTCAAGCCCCAAATAGGTCTTAACCCCACTGTGAAATTCTCCCTGAATATTTCTGCTCTACTGGCCTAAGCACCTGAATAACCTATGGTCTGCAACAGTCATCTATGCCCCAAGAACTATCCAGAAATCTTCATTAAACTTTTTGAGTCTCCTTCTCCCAGGTAGATAGAGTATGAGCTTCTTTAGAGACTGTATTTCATTATTTTATATCCCCATATATGGATTAATAGAGGACAATCAAGAAATATTTATTGCATACCTACTCTTGAGTTAGGCCTTGTAGAGGAATAAATGTGCCAGTAGGTATATTTATTAGCTGAATTAATGTTTGAAGAATCATTAAGTTTCTATATTTTGGAATTTTACATTGGGCTGGATTTTTTTTAAATGCTGCTATTTCAAATTAAGCTTTAATATACATCATCCTCATTTATCAGTATTTCCAGAATTTATGTTTTAGTTTTAGTGAAAATATTCTTGAAAATATAAATGCTGGACTTGGTTTTTGAGAATTTATCCTTACATTCATCACCTTCTGATTCTATTTCATATACCAATATTATGTTTTCCCTTGTCATTAACAGATTTGTCCCTAGATCTCCAAATCTACATTTATACACAAAACTTGGGTCCAAAGATGATATCTTTTAACAGCTGGATTGCCTATTATGCTAGGTATGATACTATACAAACAAAAATATCTATTTCCCCTAATAATTACAATAACATTATTAACTGTTCCTCTAAATCCATATTAACTCAATAACAAACCACAGATTCTTGGACTATAAAATAATCTTTAGTAAATTTTATTACCTTGTTCCCTTTACCATTCCAAAACCCATTGCTAATCTGCGAATAATGTTCTTTCTAAAAGAAAAACACCCTCTGAAAAACTTTCCCCCTGCCATTCTTGCATTATGCCAGCAGTTTATTTGCTTTTCCTTTGACATCTACACCTTTAAAATTAGCAAAAGGAAAAAATCAGAAAAGTTTAACTCTCACATCTCTCACTGTGTCGTAAAATCCTTTGTCAATTACCCTGTGTGCTTGAGAGTTGTCCGTTTCTTTTTCGATCGAATTACACAGTTGTCTCGGCAGCCTGATTTACCAGTTTGATCCACGCTGTACTTGTTTTATCAGTTTGGTGATTCTTTTTACAGATTGAGCACCATGATAAAAGTCTAAAGTTGGGCAATTCCAGGCTAAATTGGAGCAGTCTTTTTCCGTATAGCGACCTGGTACCACACTAAATTCCAGGGAGAATGAATGATAGATTATGCACCAATAGGGAGTGGAGAAGAGTATTTTGTCTAAGTTTGCAAACCAATCCTTGGGAGCCAGAGGTGGGAATATTAAAACGGGGGTTGGTCTTTTCCTTGGAATTTTCTTAAAGTGGTATCACTGCCCGTTGATGTTAAAGTTTACCAAAGACTGCCAAATTACTGGTTTGGATTAGAGGATTCCCCCCGCCCCCCTTGTTTTGAGTGAGGCAAAATGTGAAACTGGCACTTGACATATTCAGACACCTTTTAAGAGTGTTCATAGGATAATACGGGCTTCCGAGGTGGCCCAATGGTAAAGAATCTGCTTGCGATTCTGAAAACGCAGGTTCCATCACTATGTGGGGAAACGGCAACCCACTCTTCTTGCCTGGAAAATTCCATGGACAGAGGAGCCTGGCCGGCTATACTGGGTGCAGTAGCAGAGTCCGACACCAGTGAGCACGGCACACATAGGATAATATATTAATACAAAGAATCACATGGCTACTTTTGCGTCAGTTTCAGAGGGCAGAAGTTATTTTGCCATAGGTCTTATTTTTACTTAATGTAAGTCTGCTTTGCAGGTTATCTCTAACAGTAACTAAGTAAACCAATATAAATCTATAGTCAAGATTGCTTGACAATGAACCAGTAGTTTAATCAGCATCAAGCTTTTCAAAGAATAAATAACAGTGGTTTCGTGAGAGGAAGTTTTTTTAAAAACCTCATTTCAGAAGAAACGTTGTCACACTAACAAGCAAGGAACTTTAAAAAGTATTTTTTACTGTTTCCTAACAATGCTTGGATTTTTCTTCCTTTTTTTCCCCCTCTTTACCAGCATGAAAGATTCTTCCTTTTATGACTCTTTCTGCTGACACGGGAATATTATTAAATATTTATTGATGGACTACTCAGTCATGCTAGGAACTGCCAGAGTACTTTACTAAGTTGTTAGTGTTCTTTTAACGATCGTTTCTTGCAGCACACTTCAAGTATTTCAAGAGCAGAGACTAGGTTACTGCCTCAAGTTTGGAACGAAGCTGCGAGCGCGCAGTGACTTCTTTTTATACTGTGCTTTAAGAAGCTTACTACTTGATCACTAACCTTGGCCACATTACAGAAAACCACCGGGTCTCAGCATCCGTCAAACGAGTATAATAATAGTATCTGTGTCATAGGATTGCCATGAGTTAAGTGAGATAACCTGTGTACAGATCTTAGAACGTTGCGTGGTACACACTGGGTGTTACTCTTAATTTCTCAACGTATGTATTGAATAGGAGGACGAGTGCGTCAGTGAACGTAGGAACGAAAGAACTGATAAGTTACTGACGGTCCCTAAGGCCGGAGCCAGCTAAACCACCCTCTCAAAATTGAGCACTAAACTCCATCTCAACGGTAACCCCTGTGGCCAGAGCCGGAAGCAAGGACCGAGTCGGAGGCGGGGCCAGTCGCAGAGAAGCCGCAGTTTTGACCAATAGGCACGCCGCTTGGAAAACGAGCATCTCGCTCGACCTATCGTAAGACGGCGACCACAGGGGCGTGTTATCGCGAGCTTCCTCTCCCGGGATCGCTCCTCCCCCAAACCTCTGAAGAGAGGGTCCCGCCCCGCCCCGCCCCCTTTCGCTCGCGTCACGCCCCGTCGCCGCCGGCGCCCCGCCCCGCCTGCCGAGCCCGGGCTAGCCGTCCGGCGCCCCTCATCTCGGGAGCGCTGGCTCTGCCGGCGGAGGTGAGTTTGGTGCTTCGCTCCTTCGGGTGCCTCACGTAGCAGTGCCCTCTGGCCCGGCCCCTGACCAAGCAGGCCGAGCCTGGCAGAGGCGTCGGGCCACAGCAAGTGGACCCCGGCCTGAGCGGGCCCACCCGGGCCTCGGGTAGCCACTCCCGCCGGGCCCTCCTAGCCCTGGTGGTCACAGAATCCCTTCACTGGGTCTGTGAAATCCTTTCTACCAGTCTCGCTGCTTCCAAAGTCTAACGACGAGAGTGCTTGGTTAACTCGGCAAAATGGCATGTGTTTTGCCTGACTTCTGCTAGTCTTCTCAGTACTGAGAAAATAACCTTAACAAACGCTTTTAATGTACGATTTTAATCCTCTAATCTCCAGTATTAGGAAGTTGCAGTGGGTATTCCACCGTGTTAAGTACGGAAGTCAATCGAAGGTACTCCTTTCCCTTTAAAACACACCTGCTTAAAAATGTGTGGAATTTTCTTAAGGTGGAAAGGTTTGTTTGCTTTAAACAGTAATAGAGTGGATTGGTGTTTACCTGTCAGAAAACTCTTATGCAGATGCAGTTGTATACAGCTAATAATAAGTGTATCATTTGCTTTTAATTGTAGATAAGAGGTACTGAAGGGAGTATGTGTGAGAAAATTATCCTGTACTACCAATGAATGCATTTGGAAAACCATTACCATTATTTATTATTGACAGCTTTCAGATTTCATTTGTGTAGATTTCATCTGCCAAACTGCATTTTAACAGAGTGTAATGACATTTTTAAAGCAGTCAATCCCACCCATCTCTACAGGATTAGGAGAACCATCAGGTTATGCTGTATTCTCTTACTGGATCTAACCATCAAGGACTGTGGGCTGTGCCTTGTGGTCTTAAATTTATGTAAACTTTGCCTTCTGTTTAAATAGTAATAGGAGGAACACGGGTCCTGTCGAAGTTGATGAAAAGCTACACTGTAGAACAATGCACAGGCTTTGAAGTCGTCCAGTTGGGTTGGAATTCTGAGTTGCTCTTTGAGAAAACTCAGTTTCCTCATCTATAAAACAGACTAAATAACATATCGCAATGCAGAGTTTTAAGGATTGAGACATCAAAGCACATAGAAAACACTCAGCCTATAGTATCTACAAGTATGTAGTATGACCTTAGATCAGAGATGAAAAAAAAGCCTACCTTGCAGTGTTACTCACATGCCCTACTTTCCGCAGTTCATCAGCTGTTTGAGGGCCTGCTTTGCGCTAGAAGCAGGTATACAAATGTGAAGAAAACAGCGGGATCTCTGCCCTCAGGATCTCATGGTATAGTCTCTGGGCTAGATCGATAATAGATAACATCAATAACTATATAGATAATAAACTGTGGAGAGTTCTACAAAGAAAGAGGAAGAGAGAGTACTTTATTTGGGATGGAGATGTGATTTTACATTGAAACCTGAAGGGTGTTGAGACAGTGTTTTCAAGGCTCAGAGGAGAGCAGCACGTGATGTGAGGAGTGCAGAACTCAGAAGCACTAGAAAAGCCCAGGACTGGTGAGAAACTAGGAAGGGTGCTGCCAGGCTGAAGGAGTGGGTGGGACCAGGTTGTGAAGAGCCCTTAATACCTGGTAAGTTTGATTTTTCTAAATAAACTTTTGAAGGTTTTTTTTTTTTTTAAGAATTCGTGTGACTAGGGAGTGAATTTACCTGAGAAAGAGAGGGAGACATAATTGGATTTACCTTTTTAAAAGCTCCCTGCTAAGTGATTAATGTATTACAGAATGACTAAACACAGGGAGACCAGTAAAATATATGGCAGGCAGGAGATGACTGGTTTTCTATTTTGGCAGATGGAGAAATGTGGATTGAATTGAGGTGTATTTTGGAGATGGAAACCATAGGCCTTGTGATGGATTGGAGGTGGTGGGTGACTCATTCATGATGGGTGGGTGGAATCATTCTTGACTTCAGGCTTTCCTGGTGTTTGGAACAACTGGGAGAAAACTGGATAGGTGATGAAAATAAAAAAACTCTTATTTGAATGTGTTAAGTTTGAGGTGTTTCTGAGACAGCTAAACTGCTTCCAGTTTACCATTTAAGTGAATAATTACCCAGAAAACTTCCCTTTCCAAATAACAATCATCAACATTATTTCTAGCCTCATTCTCCTTGCTTCATAGGGAGAGAATTAAGATGTGGAAAGATTATCTCGTTTAGAGTCATGTAATATGTCTCATAAAAATAGGTAAGTGAGTAGCTAGTATAAAAATGGGAAGGTATTGGACTCTCATGCTCCACTGGGGAGATTATTGAGTACTCCATATTCTCTTCCCTTTTATATAAAATAGCAGGTAGTTTCCTATTAGGAATTAAAGTTTGGAAATAATAGAATATAAACAAAAAGTTACAAAACACTGCTTATTGAAAGCTTATGTTACTACATTTGTGCTAATTTGGTGTCAATTCTCGGTGAAAATTTTTCTTAAGAAAAAACATTTTCTTTGAAAGGTATTTTCCTTTGGAGAGTTTGAGGAAGGGTGCCCAAGTAAACGAGAACAGAATCTTTGAACAAAGTTCAACTTGTTTTTAGTGTTTTAGCATTTCCTTGGTATCTTGTAGAATCCTGTTGGTCTGTGTGTGCAGACTTCAGTCTGGACACCCTTCCCCACCCAAAGAAAAAAAAAATTCTTTATTCCCTTATGAGCTGCTTGACCTTGGGCAGATTATTATAGCTCTGAGCTTGTTTCTTTTTGTGGTGATTGTGAAGTTTGTTTCTGCCCTGTGTCTAATTGATAAGATGGCAAATCTTATTTCTCTTCCTACCCATGTCAGTTTAGAGCTAGAAGGGAATTTAATCTGTTCTGGGTTCTAGCCCTTACCAATAAATTGCTGTCTCCATTTTATATGTTAGGCAGTTGAAGCCCAGAGAGGTTGTAATAGAAAAATACAAGATTCTTATTTCCTAGGGCAGTATTTCTTCTTTCATTGAAATAATAAAGTATAACTATGTTCCCAAGCCTGTTTCTTTGCTACTTCTGATAATCTGCAAAGTTAAGAAGAAAGAAAAGAGGATGAGGAGAAAAGAAAGAAAATATTACAATATAGAACAATATTTAGATAGTAAGAAGTGCAGAAAATGAAGCTGTAAATGATCTAGTCATAGTTTATATAGATTTAAGTATTTTAAAAATATTTTAAGTTAAAGACAAAATGAGGTAGGAAGGAAGGAAATGGCTTTGCTGTGTCTGATTTTTAAGCTCTTTCTTCAGTTATGTGTTATGAAACTGGTCTCTGTTCTCTTAGATAGGGATTCCTATCTCAATTTCAAGAACTACTTTTTCAAATAGGACTATTCTAAGTAGTAAATATTGTTTAAATAGAGTACTTTTTAAAATTAAGTAGTTATTCATTTTAATCTTTAAATATGTATGAAAATTTAGTTGCTATGGAATGAAAATGTAGGAATTGATGTATAACTCTGTTTTTAATGTCTGCAAATAGCTATATATGCTAACTGGCAGTTGTTGTTATCAGTATCATAATTTTAAGGTTTTTTGTTCTCTTTAGAAATGGACCAGTTTTGACAAGATGTAGTACTGCACCGTGCCTGATGGAATATGTTCAGCCATGGCATCCGAACTTTGTAAGACGATCTCTGTGGCAAGGCTGGAAAAGCACAAGAATTTGTTCTTAAATTATAGGAATCTGCAGCATTTCCCATTGGAGTTACTGAAAGATGAGGGACTACAGTACTTGGAGAGACTCTACATGAAAAGGAACTCCCTTACAACCTTGGTACAGTATTACATTACATTTTTTAAAAGTTATTTATAATGTAGTCCTGATCAAGATATGTTTTATGTTTCTTAAGATATCCAGAACCAAGATGTATATCCCCTCTTGTTGTATAAACATGTAATAAAAGTACATATACAGTGGGTTCTCCTTAGGTGGAAATTCATTATCCAATTCCTGCAGTTACAAAGTTGCAGGAGTTGTATAGGAAAGCAAAATATTCACTAATATACCACTTAGTCCCACATGCTACTACATATAAGATAGATAACCAACTAGGACTTACTATATAGCACAGGGAACTCTACTCAATATTCTGTGATAACCTATCTGAGAAAAGAATCTGAAGAAGAATGAATATATATGTATGCACAGCCAGATCACTTTGCTGTACACCTGAAACTAATGCAACATTGTGAGTGAACTATACTACAATAAAATTTAAAAAAAAATTAGTCCCCTAAATCATTTAGGAATCTTAACACACAAAGAAAACACAGGCCCAGAGAGATACACAGACTAAATTCAGAGGGGTTTCTGAATGGGGACTAATTTTTTTTTTTATTGTAGTATGGTCTCTGTTTTAAACGAATTTGCTTTATGTGGACTTTTCTGATTATCATTGAGCCTCATTTAAGTTTTTCACATTGAATTCTAGTTCTTATTCATATTAGATGATTTATGAAGTCTTGTTGTTTCTTTGTGAATGGACCGATTCTTCATTCCCTTCCCTTAAAGTATCTGAATATCTGAAAATATACCTTACTGGCTTCATATATATGGAGTGTTTTTCTGGAAAAGTTTTATTTAATCTGTGTAAAATACCTACAGTGTGTAGAAAGCATTATAAATTTTGCTTATTTTTGCTGTGTCTGAAAGTAAGTGTAAATATATCTTTCATTTTTAGTCTTTGGCATATTGGTGTATGGGGCTTCCCAGGTGGCACTAGTAGTAAATAAACTGCTTGCCAATGCAGGAGACATAAGTGATGCGGGTTCAATCCCTGGGTCAGGAAGATCCCCTGGAGGAGGGCATGGCAACCCACTCAAGTATTCTTGCCTCGAGAATCTCATGGGATTGCAAAGAGTTGGACATGACTGTAGCAACTTAGCACACACACGTATTGATGTATATGTTATTTTGCATGCCTAGTTAGATTTTTTCAAATTAAAATTTTCACTTTTCAAACCTTAATAATCTATATAAAATCATATTAATCCTTTTTGCAAGATCATCATTCCATAAAGTGAAACCATATTTATTTAGTGTTTTTTTACCCCCTGTGGAGAAGAAGTGGTATGAGAAATAATTTGTCAAGAATTATAGCCCAGATATTCTTATATTTGTTGTTAATGTACAAATAAAAGGTTGTAAGTGGATTACGTCTCAAACAATCAGTCATAATCTACTGCAGTAGAAATAATTGACCTTTGCTTATAAAACTAACAATAAACTTCTGGTTTTGTGGCCATTTCTTGACTGAATTTTTCTGTTTATGAAACATTTAAATATCTACTATGTAATTTTAACTGATATAATGGCTTCCAAACATACATTTCAAGTTCATTATTTGCCACCTTGTTTGTTGAAGATTAAATTGTTGCATATGTTTATAATGATAGGTATATGTATTTTATTTTAATGGTTTCTCTTAGCTGGAACATTTGATTCATGTGTATCAAAGAGCTTTTTCAACTGTGAAGTGCCATACAGATATCAGTATGTGAAAATAGTAGCAACCATACCATTCCCTGATTATGCTGAGCATAAGACAGCTTATTTATCCAGTATAGTCTGAGAATGGCTTCCTGCACAGGTTTTGAAAGCAGATGGAACAGTACTTGCCCTTATGTGCTCTAAACTAGTGAGTTCAGGCTTTTGGAATATTTGCTGGTGTTATTGATAAGGTTTATTTCCTATAGAAATGACATGTAGTATGTGAAATTTGACTTACAACTGCAGTAGTGTTCAAAAGAAAAGGCATTATTGGAAGCATACAGTAAGTATCTCAAACACGTTAAAAATTAATTGGCTTTTTTTTTTTTTGTTAAGGAAGCTTGGGAACCTGCCAGTCATTTCCATTTCCACATTGTTTTGTTATTTTTTATTAACATTGTTTTATTGTGTTTAAATGTCCTGTCGTTCCCCCCCCCCCCCCATTTCCCCTCCTTATATGAAGCTTCTTGGTGAGAAGAGGAGTCACTGAGGCCTGACTTCTGTCCTTCCTTTTTCCATTTAAGTTGTTCTGTATCACACCGTGGTTTATATTTGTAGGATGATTGTATGTCCAATGCTCAGAACTCGGGGAGTGCCCATATTACAATTGTAGAACAGTGAGAAAGAATAAACTTTTTTTATATACAAAAGAATAGCTTCATATATTACCTATGAAAATGATATGTGCCCTGTAGCAGCCAACATAGAGGAAGACATGGAAAGGAGTTGCTTATCTTTCTGTTCATCCAGTTCTGTGCTTTGGAATAACCAGTATTAACAGTTGGACTGTGTCCACCCACTACTTTGCTTCTGTTTATGTAACTATGTACTCTGTATTTTTTTGCATTTTTAAAAAACAAAAGGGAATCATACTATACATATTTCTCTGCAGATTTCTCTGTTCACTTCATTTTTATTCTGCTAACTTCTAGGCCAAAAAATGTACATACATCCTTGTATTTAGGATCAAGTCTCAAAAGCAAGCTTGCTGGATCAAAGGATAGGCATATTTTACATTTTAAAATAGTTTTTAGCAGTATTTCATTGTACAGTATTACCATTTATTTGTGTATCTGAAAAATCTTAAAACTTTTTAAATATGAGTTAATTTATATAGGAATACTGTTATATAATTAATAGGCAAATAAGAAGTGGTTAGAAAGCATTGTGATTTTGGTTCCTAACATTTATCTTAGAAAACGTTTTGAAGAATTTTTCTATCATTATTTTAAATGCAATTCAAGAATTATTAAATCTCTGATCTTTGTGGTAGTTTGACATTAAGAGAATAGGAGATACATGTTCTGTGTTTGTCGTAGGATAGGCATCCACATAGTTGTTAGATGAATAAATAAATGAATATAAAGTAGAATAGTGTTAAGGATTATAGTACAAGTATATGAATTCCAGATTGAGAATCTTTTATCCAGGGACTCTGTCTTAAATTCTGTATCCCCAGTGCCTGGCCTACTGCCTGACATATGTAGGACACGTAATTCTGTGTATCAGGATTGTAAAAGACTTTTTAAGGAAGGTGCTACTTGCGTTGATCCTGAAGAATGACTATGACAGGAACTTAGGAGGAAAACTATCACTTATTCATTCACCATGTATTTATTGAGTACTTACTGTGTATTCAGTACTCTTCAAGGCGCTGATGATCAATACCTCATGGAACAGATTGTTACTCTCATGGATTTTTGTTTCTTCACATCCCAAGCTGAAGAAAAAAATATTAACTGAGATTAAATGGCAGAAGGTTAGGATCAATATTTGTCCAAAACTTTAGTGACAAAAAATGATAGTGACTGTGACAGGGACTGTGTTAGAAGCTCTAGAGAGTGGAATGCAAATTTGAATTGGTGAGAAGGAGATGAAAAACTAGATAACAAGGTTCAATTCAGTTCAGTTCAGTTCAGTTGCTCAGTCTTGTCCGACTCTTTGCGACCCCATGAATCGCAGCACACCAGGCCTCCCTGTCCATCACCAACTCCCGGAGTTACTCAAACTCATGCCCATTGAGTCGGTGATGCCATCCAGCCATCTCATCCTCTGTCACCCCCTTCTCCTCCTACTCCCAATCCCTCCCAGCATCAGGGTCTTTTCCAAGGAGTCAACTCTTCGCATCAGGTGGCCAAAGTACTGGAGTTTCAACTTCAGCATCAGTCCTTCCAATGAACACCCAGGACTGATCTCCTTTAGGATGGACTGGTTGGATCTCCTTGCAGTCCAAGGGACTCTCAAGAGTCTTCTCCAACACCACAGTTCAAAAGCATCAATTTTTCGGCACTCAGCTTTCTTCGCAGTCCAACTCTCACATCCATCCATGACCACTGTAAAAACCATAGCCTTGACCAGACAGACCTTTGTTGGCAAAGTAATGTCTCTGCTTTTTAATATGCTATCTAGGTTGGTCATAACTCTCCTTCCAAGGAGTAAGCGTCTTTAAATTTCATGGCTGCAGTCACCATCCACAGAGATTTTGGAGCCCAAAAAATGAAGTCTGACACTGTTTCCACTGTCTCCCCATCTATTTCCCATGAGGTGATGGGACCAGATGCCATGATCTTAGTTTTCTGTATGTTCAGCTTTAAGCCAGCTTTTTCACTCATCTTTCACTTTCATCAAGAGACTTTAGTTCTTCTTCACTCTCTGCCATAAGGGTGGTGTCATCTGCATATCTGAGGTTATTAATATTTCTCCCGGCAATCTTGATTCCAGCTTGTGCTTCTTCCACCCCAGTGTTTCTCATGATGTACTCTGCACTTAAGTTAAATAAGCAGGGTGACAATATACAGCCTTGACGTACTCCTTTTCCTATTTGAAACCAGTTTGTTGTTCCATGTCCAGTTCTAACTGTTGCTTCCTGACCTGCATATAGGTTTCTCAAGAGGCAGGTCAGGTGGTCTGGTATTCCCATCTCTTTCAGAATCCTCCACAGTTTATTGTGATCCACACAGTCGAAGGCTTTCGCATAGTCAATAAAGCAGAAATAGATGTTTTTTTTTAAATATGGGTCTAAAAATTTGGTTTTGATTTGAAAAAGCAGGCATAGCTGGAGGGTCTTGACAAAGGACACTTTTTCCTTCTCCTTTTTTATTTTCTTTCCTCTTTACTTACCCCTCTTCTCTTTTCTAAGATGAATGAGTTGAGCCTGTGTAAATGCTGATCTTCATTAGAGAGGAGTTGAAGATACAGAAATAGGAAATGATTAAAAGTTCAAGATTCCTAAGAAGGTAGGAAAGGACGGGCCCAAGAGTTCACTTGGAGGGAGGGAATGACTG